CTCTTTGCTCGCGCAAAGGTGCGGATTGACAGCTAATTCAGCTTTCGCTTCTAGTATCGCCTTCGATGCGTACCGTCCCGAATCTAACTCGATTTATAGCTTTCAAACCTCGACCGCTGATGGTTTCTAGTCGGTCTGTCGTCATAAGCAAGACAAATACTCCGCTAGGAGAGCTGTCAAAGTACGTTCAGCCAATCTTCACTCGACAGCTCGAAAGCTGATCAGTAGTTTCTATTACATATTTTTGGCAATCTCTAGAAGACAGGGAAGAGGAGGTTTTAGGGTAAGGCCCAAGAAATGAGATGAACCCGGAGATGGAGATATCCCCATTCAGTATGCTTCCGTCAGTCCGAAGCTGTATCAGCAGTTCTGGGCTCTTTCCCTCGCTCTACTGAAATAGATTTAGCTGAAAACCTGCTATAGCTATATCCGATCTTGGTTTTCCTTTCCTTGGTCTCTGTTTGGTTGGGCATTCTATCTTTTTGGTTCCGCGAACTCATCCAAATGATGTATGTGATGATGGGTCCCGAATCAGCTTCTGGCACTGCAGCTCTTTCATATTTCAGAATCTAGCGCTAGCGGGGATGAAAGGGTCGACCAACCGGTTGGTTCCTTCATCTGGATCTGGAAGCGTACCGATCTATAGCGTTAGCGCAGGCAAAAAAGAAGAATCTGTTGCGGAGTCTGTTCCATCATCCGTTTCCGTTGCAGAATTCGAAGTCAGGTAAGCAGAAGAAATTGCTGAATCCACACCAGGAGAATCCGGATCAACGGAATCCGCGGAAGAAACAGAAGAAGAGGAATCAGAATCGGCAGTAGCAGCATCAACAGAATAAGTTTCTGTTCCTGTTGCAGTTTCGGTTCCTGAATCCGTTGGTGAGTCAGTTGCTAGCTTAATATCAGATGAAAGTGAAAGGAGGGACTTTAGCTTAGCAGCTTTAAAAGAACATTCAAAATTGCGTAGAGAACATTTTCTATAATCTCATCTACTTCTTGACAGTTTATGGATTGAGAAAGCGGCGGGCCCATAGAACTCTCCAATCGTGCACCGAAAGGGGGCCGGAGAGTCGGTAACCTTAGATCGCCTAAGATCGGAACTGGATTGGATTAGATGAGATGCTAACTGAGATTTAGAATGTGTTCCGTGATTTCATTCTAGTCAGTCTTTACTTAACTCGACCAAAGCGATGCCTTTCGACTCCCATGTCTTTCTTGATTGGTAAAACCAACCAGCGCAGCGATAAGAAAGAAGTCTTTACTCTTGTTGGGGAGAGCGGAAACAATAGAACAGGAATAGGGTTACATATGATGAAAAAAATGAATATATTTTTAATGGGATTCTTTTTTACATTAGTCTTAGGTAATTTCTCTTTGGAGTTATGTCAGTCTCTACTTTGGAGACTCGGCTTATCTCTGGTCTCCTTTGCATTCTTAAAAATGGGCCTATCGGGAGGTCTAGCCATGGCAATCATTTTTGCTGTGAGGACCCTCCTCATTGGGGGGGAATTCCAGCCTATGATGAGCTCTGAGGGTCCAAACGAGGGATGGACTGGTATACTACTGGGATCTTCAGAAAGCGAAAGCGCAGGCACGTCGTCCTCCGTTAACCAACAAGGGGCACGTCCTGCGCCTGCCCAAAATGAAGTAGCTCCCCCTGTCGTCCCCTATCCTTATCCTGAAAATGAAATAATAGGGGGTGACAGTGTTGAAGCCATTGAGCGGAGGCTTTTGGGGAGATTCCCCTCTCCTTCGGCCCATGACATTCAAATGGCCCGGATTCAAGCCGAAGACCTATTCGAGGTCAAAGTGGATATCATCCGGCGGATGACATCCCTTGATCCCGAGTGTTGAAGCCATTGAGCGGAGGCTTTTGGGGAGATTCCCCTCTCCTTCGGCCCATGACATTCAAATGGCCCGGATTCAAGCCGAAGCCCTATTCGAGGTCAAAGTGGATATCATCCGGCGGATGAC